ATATATGACTGTACCAGAGAAAATTGGAAGAAAAATAATTTATACGAATTCCGATTATCTGCCCCCTCTGAGTTGGATAGATAAACACGCATTTCCGAGTATCCACCCTAGGGTGGATTCTTTAGGTGATAAACGGAGTAACCCATTATTTAAGAATAAAATTCGATTTCGAAGAAATAAAAATAATAAAATAATTTGCACATAACAGCGTTAGAAGTGTGTTCGCACACAGTGTGTACGAGAATTAAAGTGTCACTGCAAAAGCTGCCGCTGTTTAGCGAGTAGCGGCGACACCGTGTCGTAGGTGGCGGCAAAATTACAGCCTATAATGTCCTACTGCTGGGCACAGGCCTCCTATCATTTCTGAGAGCGTTTAAGGACCGCAGCCCTAAAACGCTCTATATACATACATAAATACACAAACACTCACGCCTGTCGCCCAGAGGGGTAGGCACAGACTACAGACTTCCACTTGGCACGATCCTGACACACCTTTCTCGCCACCTATACATACATATACCTACGCATACAAGTTCGTCGGTTAAGGATACTCCGAATTTGGCCCGTTTTCAATATATCGGCAATTTGATCGATAAACTTTCACCTAGGACGTCCCTTTCCGACTCTGCCGTTCACTTCTGCGACGTAAATTTGTTTTGTCACTCTTTCCTCATACATTCTTTCCACAAGACCAAACCACCGAAACATTCCTTTCTTAATCTTGGCCATAACATCATCTTGCAAACCACACTTCTCTTATCATACAATTTCTCACCCTGTCACTCAGATTCAGCCCTAACATACCCCTTAATGACCGCATTTCTACTGCGTTTATTCTACTCTCGTCCTTCTACTGCCACACCCAACTTTCACTACCATACGTTAAAGTAGGGACCAACACAGCATTGTGAATTACCATACGTGCCTTTTTTGACACATTCTGATTTTTCACAATAGAGTGTAGAGCCCCATTTACTTTATTTCCTGCGTTCACTCGTCGTTCTACATCCTTATCATATCTCCCATCCTTCCTAAATACGCATCCCAAATAGACAAATTCATCTACTTGCTCAATCAACTCCCCTTCTATTCTTATTTCTCATATCGTTTTACTTTCTTCTCTTTCAAAAACCATAACTTTCGTCTTACTTATAAGTGAACGCAACACTTTCATACCCCTTTCTTTTAATGATCTGTTTATTAATGTAACCATCATTTGCAACTCGGCCACCGACGATTTATGTATACAAATAAATAAAATTGAAGTGCCTGTTTGTAGGTAATATTGATATAAGTGGCTTATATTAAGCTCAAGGAGTTGTTTGTGCCTTAAAGAACCATTTGTAAATATTTCATCTGTCTGCCTATCTGGTGTCTGGGCTCTTCGGAATGGCTGAATGGACTGTGATGGAACTTTACGAACAGATCCAGAGCAATTCCAGGAGTTTCCGGATAATTTTAAGTTTTTTCGAAGAAAAATAAAGTTAATAAAATAAAAGGCTGGTAGATTATCTTAAAACTAAATGGGGCGAGGCGCTAACAGTAAATAAAATTATCAACAGGAAATTCAAAACAACTGGCTATTTATTTAATTAATTAATACTAATTGAACAATTTTCCTTGAACATTTTATGTAAACAATATTCGATGGATAGGTAATGTTGGATTGGACTAATGATTCATCTTACCCTATGTTTAAAAAACATCCAACTTGCAATGTTTCAAAACTTGTCGTGTAAAATAAATCACATTTTTGTTAGTACTCGCATTTGCACTCCAGGAAATTGTGTAAATTTTGCGAAAAAATTTCAGATTTCTTGCTGTTTGCGTTCGCACTGAATAAAAACTTAATAAGTTATAATATACAATGTAATGTATACGTTTGACATTAGGTTTGTCAAGCTTTCCATTCGCACTGTTACGTGATTTCACTCGCAATTTGTTTTAATGCTTGTTATTGATGTTATCCAAAAAGGTTGCTTAACATAAATTCCATACAAATAGATACTTTAAAATATATGAATACCTGGTACTTTTTTTATAAAAAGGAGATATTTTTTGTCTGGTACGTGTTCCTATACCATTTATCCAATTATCTAGTTGTCATGTGCGCGCCCGTGAATGTGTCTGACAAAATTTTATATTTGTTCACTTATCTGCGGACGATGAAAAATCGGTGCGTTGTTTTGCGGACGCCTGTGAATGCTTCTTCTGTTAAAAATGCATACAGGGCACAGCTAATTCAATATTGTTTTATTTTTCTTTGTGATTCGGACACCTTATAAAGTAAAAAATAATAATTATGAAAGTAATTGTATATGCAAACAAATCTTCTAGCACGTTTTCATGCCAAAACAACATATTGAATTATTTGTATCGAAATTTTTTGGTTTCCAAAACTTATTAAAACATGTTTTGTTCAATGAAATGTCAAACATGTTTTATTTCAAAATATTCTTTGGCAGTCCAAACGCAATACGATACATTGTCAAAAACTTAATTTTAAACATGTTTTTATGTGAATATTTCACCAGTGCAAACTCAAAGTTACGCAACGCAACGTCAACAGACCACAGAGTAAGGTACTTGTTCCACCGCCAACGATGAACGAGAAGTGAGTAGAGCTGGAAACTAGATAAGAGTTAGTGAGCAGCAAGAAGCGAGTGTGTAGTTTCGATAGTTTTTTGCTGAGTTATAAGCGATTGTACGAGTTGTTCTAAATTCATAGTAAATGTGTGCACGCAAATTCGCACTGTAGAGTAAAATTTCTGCTGGTGTGTATCGGCATGAGTTGTGACCGCCAAGCGAGCGTCACGGAGCGACTTTTGTCTTTGATAGCTCTTGGCGCTGCAACAAACGAGTGGAGAGGGCTTTCTGTCTTATTTTTCTCCTTTTCTCTTTATTTACTGTATGTATCTCTTTTATTGATACGGGATTATATCTATTATTCGTAGTTGAGCGAGAAAACAGTCAATAGCTAATCGCGTCTCATCGGCGGTGAGACAAAGTGCCTAAGGGTTCGGTTTCTTTACTCATGTGAACAGGCGCTATAATTAATGAGGAAATTCTAATTATTTAATGCTTTCAAAACCCTGATGTAGACTTACACAATAAAATATTAATATGAGTATTTATCTATACGTCACTACTACATAAATATATAGAAGTGTCTGTCTGTACTCTAATATCGAAATAACTGCCTTATATTGAGCCGGGAGCGTTATTTGCATGTCATTAAGACATGAATAACAGATTCTAAATGTTTTCCTGTCTGTCTATCTGTCCGGGCTAATCTTTGGCATGGCTGAACTGATTGCAATGAAACTTCACGAAAGTATAGAGGGGAGTAATTCCAGAATAGATTTTATCTGAAAAACCTGAAAACTTATTAAAACAAGTGGTGAAGTTAAAAATTTTGTACAACCGACTTCAAAATAATTACAAGTAGTATAAAATTAAGATTTAGTACAATCGTCTTCAATACGATCAAATACGCATTAGTAAAGACAGCTCAAAAACTACTGGTCAGATCTTGATTCAATTTATATGGGATCACGGGAGAAGCACCAGCTTTCAGTTAAAAAATAATTAAAATCAGTTAACCTAGAGAAAAGTTATTTGGTAACACATAAAGAATACTATATAATATTTTGAAAACACAATCATTGTTTGAAAACACAATCATTGTATTAGATGAAAAAATTTACGCTATTCTCAATCTCAAGATTTGGTATTTAGTAATTGGTGGTCGACGGTGTTGGTTGCACTATAATGTAATATTTGCTGTAGTGAATGTATTGTAGATTAATAAATATTGTGTAAACTGTTTGTTGATCCTAATAAATAAAAAAATATATACATTCGAATTGAAAACCTCTACCTTTTTGAAGTCGGTAAAAAATTGATAAAGTGAATAGTCTTTGGTTATATTAAATCTAAATAACGCTACATCAACAAATCCTATTAGGAGAAGTCGGGGGTCGCTAGTAATTTAGTAACTGGAGGGCACTCTTTATGATTTCTAGCTGTATATTAAATTCGTCCTTAAGTAAACTATATAATATATAGATTTCTTAAGGACGAAGATATACATATTATGTATACGAGTATAAGCGAAATACCTCTGATTGACTTATCACGAGATCTGTCAAACTATACATCCGATCGACTTGAAATTTAGTTTAGTTACTTATTTCGCAATTTAGATACTCACTAAGAACGGATTTTACGATAGTCCCATCAACATTTTTTTTGACATTTTATATCTAGGTTCCTCAATAAAATATCGTGCGCCCAGCGAAGCGAGCGAGTATCAAGTATCAACCAATTCTTAATAGGTAATCACTATATCTTTCCGACAGAATTAAGCAATGGTAATAGATAAAAAGAATTGTGCGTGTAGTTGTGTACACATGTATGAAGTGGAACTTCTTTATGATATATCATTCTTCTATTATTTTATATTTTACATAAATATGTTGAATAATAGTATACTCATGCGGCCCCGGCGTTGAAACGTTACGAGGAAACGTGCTGTTTTTATTTTTAATATCGCGTTAAATTTCTTCACTTCGTCGATAAAGAAGTTTTACTTCAAAAATATATGGTATTGTTAGTCTTGTTTAGGCACGCACATACGCGGCGCTTCTCGTGGAAATGATGTTTGCATTACGTGCAGCGGTGCGGGCTGGGCTCTCAATGTGCGTGACGACCCACGGCACACGCTCTGCCATTGTGGACACACAGACAGACACCTTCCATTACTTCATGAAAAAAGACATGAGATACTTTTTATAACAATAATTACTAAAGTTGATTTACACCGGGTGAAACGTGTGGTTAATAGCAACATAGTCAATAATAATTTTAAAATTATAAACATGCGGCTAGCGCTATTGTTTGTGTGCACTGGTGTTTAAGTTGTTGTTGTGGTGTCAGATAGGTATCCGTTAGTCAATAGTGACATTATGTTAGTGCAGTGTTTGTGAGTGATAGCCAAAATGATGCCAGTGCGCAAGGTTGCTCATCGAGCCTGCTTCTTCGTGAGCAGAACGGTGTATATGACGTGTAAGTTGACACACTCATTGGATATTTAACATTACCTGTATTTTGATAAAGTAAATAGTTTATATTCAAATACACAAAATAAATTACATTGAAGTGGGCAGTTATATTGATTTTATAGTGTTATTTTCTAATATTAAATCGAAATATTTTCGTAACTTAATTTTTGTGTTCCACTTCAAGACTATATATTCCATTATACGAGTAATAACGCTTAAAATAAAGTATTTTAGCTTATAATAATGGTCGCATTCAACCGGACAGATAACTCTGATTGATTGTCTGTGAGGGATTGTCTTCGTTCTAAAAAACCGTTAATAAAAATTATGATTTTGCTCTGTAGTGCACTAAATAAACACTTCATCTTTCTAAAGACGTAATTTTCTGCAAATAATCTTCTCACATGGTTACGATATCGCCCTTGAAAAAACCCTCAATCATGATGTTTGCGACGCGAATCGCTAACGTCCTCTTAACGCTAATCTATACCAATAAATAAAATTGAAGTGTTTGTTTGTAATGTCAAAATAACAGCTTTTCACTAAGTACCTACGAAAGTACATGCGGTATTTATAACAAAAAAACAATTTTTAAACGTTTTGTCTGTCTGTCTGCTTGTTCCGGCCAATCTCCGAAGCGGCTGGACCGATTTTTAACAGGACTTTCACTGGCAGATTGCTGTTATTATAAAGAGTAGCTAAGTTTACTTTTATTTTAGAAAAAGAATTGGGGTTACGCGCAAAAAAAACATGAAATTCCGCAATAAATTATACGTGGTAGAGCGACGCTGTAGCTACATATATTATGGTTGTAGCACGAAAGGGTTGGCTCGATTGGGGAAGGACCACGCTCTCACCGAATACCATCGTAAAATAGCAGAGAAAATATATCTTATTATCATTTATTGCATTTTGATTCTAAATCGAGGTTAAATGTAGATGTCTATGAGCCACAGCAACTGTGGGCCATAGACTAGATGTCTATGGGTCACATTTATCCTCGATTAAAAATCAAAATGCAAATGCGTTGTCTGATGAAATGATCAATGATAAGATGAAACGCCTCGTTTCCAGTGAAAAAGGGTCTCCGGTTCTCTACACTCACCATACGAAACACAGCAGCATAGAGCTGCTATTTTACGATGGTATTCTGTCAGAGCGTGGTTGTACCCCGGTCGAGACGACCCATTCGTGCTGCAACTATAATATAATTGCAGCGTTGCTTTACCACGTAGAAGATATATAGAATAGAATAGAATCATTTTTACTAAATGTAATAAGTTATTGTAAGTCATTTAAACATTACCACTGGTACGAAAACACCTCTGTCCTTAAAAGAACCAGAAACAAACCCAGTGAGACTTTTGAAAGATGAATTTACAATGTAAGATTTTATACAATAAAGTTTGAAAACATTTATAAACAGCATGGTAGAGACCACTTCATTTCCGGGGATTATTATCAATCATGTACTCTTTATATTTTTACAAAAATGCTCAAAAGTGGTACAATTTTTGATGATTTGTTCGATAGCCTACACCTTTCCTAAAGTATCTTCTGCACTTCGGTACCTTTCGCTGCGATATTTTTATATTTTAGAATAAAGGTCACAAACGAGCACACAGTCCATCTGACGTTAAGTGGACGCAGTGGCCCATAGACATCTAAATTTGTTTTCGATTGAAAATCAAAATATAGAAGTGGCACCACATCTTCTCTTCTTTCTTCTCAGAAAGAAAGGATATGGTGACAAACGAGCACACAGTCCACTTGATGGTAAGTGGTTACTGTTGTCCGTAGACTTCTACATCTATCCTCGACTACGAATCAAAATGCAGATGCGTTGTCATCCGTGGTAAGGACTTAGATGGAATGCCTCGTTTCCAGTAAAAAGGGTCTCCGGTTCTCTACACTCACCATACGAAACACAACAGCGTTAAGCTACTATTTGACGCTGGTATTCTGTGAGAGCGTGGTCTTTCCTCGGTCGAGCTGAATCATTCGTGCTACAACTATACTATGTACTAATATAACTGCAGCATGGCTCTATCACGTAAAAAACCGTCGTTACCATTATTAAAGCTCTAACGTTCTCCACCCTTACCATATGAAACGTAGAAGCATTATGTTGCTGTTTTTACGTTGATATTCTGTAAGAGCGTGGTCCTGCCCCGGACGAGCCGACTTTTCGAGGTCCTGCGTCTGTTCTCTCACCTGTTGGGTCGCGATGTGTCGTCCTATCGAACTAAGAGACTGAAGGAATATAGAGTGCACGGGTGCGGTGCTTGTGCACACATACTCGTGCACTATGGTACTGTACTACGCTGATTGTTAGGCTCCGTAAAGACTAGCTGCCGTGACCGAAAATATATTTGGAAGACATTATGCCGGTCTGATTTTACCACTAGAGAACTCTTTGACTGTCTAACACCATATTTACTTATAGGCTGCTGCGGATGCTGCTCCGCGTTGCGACCACGTTACAAACGTCTCGTGGACAACATCTTTCCGGCCTCGCCTCAGGATGGCCTGGTCAAGTCGAACATGGAGAAGCTCACATTTTATTCCCTATCGAGTCCAGAGAAATTGGACAGGATCGGCGAGTACCTGTTTCAAAAAGCCTCCAGGGATATATACAGACGGAGACACGGGTAAGGTTTTATTAATTGTTAATTCTAATCATGATCATTGTATGTAATGATATGAAATTCACTGTTGAATATAGACATTCCCAAAAGATTGCATCATCAAGAGGGATATTTGCCAATGTTGCAACTCTTGGAGTCTGGATGGTAATTACAGTCTTTTATTATTTCCATTTGTTACCAGAAAAATGCTGCTGCCCACTTCCTGTTTCACTGTGTCCTCTGTCTCCTGCACCCACGGGAAGATATGCAGCAGTGGATATTGTTGCGCCGCCACTGCACGGTGGTTAATTATAATGATAATAATTAGTTGCGATTTGTAATGATGATTTGTTTCTTAACATGTTTTTAAAACCTGGATACTGTCAGGAACTTATTATTTAAATGTTTAGTGTTCGCGTGAATATAAGAGATCATAATGGAAAACAGTTTATAATTTACTGTGTTATATCCTAAGCTTTAACAGGCTTAACGATGAACATCATACACTAGTAATCATCCATGTATCCAATACAGCATATAAAAGCTCACTGCAGAATACAGGCTTCCCCCATAGTTTGCCTCATAGGAAGGATTTCGCCATAGTTACCATGCTTGGATTGCGGGTTACCAACTGCAGTATTTTGTAGAAATAGAAACTTTTTCATTCAATATAGATTATAAATAATACTTTTTGAAAGTCACTTTTATCTTCAATTTACCTTACTTATGTTTTATTTCTAATTTTGAGTTGTGATCAGAAAGATGCTGTTCCCATCTCCTGTTGCAGTTGATCCCCTGTCGCCTCTAACTATATGCACGGAATGATGCTGCACGCCACGACGCGGTGTATACTAACGTATTTATAAACTACAGGCAATAATGTAGTACGGGATTAGTTTATTCAAATTGCTGTTGTGAAACCCTTCTCTAAAGACGACAAGCCGCCTTAATGCTCTGATTGGCGCGCATGTGCAGTATGCATGTCACCTAGTCACACATCCGAGTCACTTAACACTGGTGATTTGATACCGCCTTAAGGTTACGTTGTTTTACTTGGCATTCCGGTCAAATTGGAAAGACTCGTTACGTACCCATATTATTTATGATAATAATTACAGCCTTTATAGCTTTATACGTCTCACTGCTGGGCACAGACCTCCTCTCAATTCTGATTGGATTTCAGGGCAACGATGTGCCCGCGATGTTTTCCTTCACCGCCGAGCACGTGCTAAATTAGCACTTAAATTGCAATCGGTCGTTACTTTGCGGCAATCCATTATATTATTAAATTTGCCAAGATCCGCGCAATAAAATAAATTGATGTGTTTCAATCCCAGCACCACTACTTCCCACAACTGGGATTAGTGGTGACGGGGATAGTGCACGCAATTGAGGGAGGGCGGGAGATGTTCTTCAAGCCAGGTAAGATATTTTATTTTATTGCGCACATTAGCAAATTGATTTGAATATTTTTAACTTTTATTTTTAAAAAAACCTTCTCTTTGTGACAGATATTTATAATCATAAACCAAGTCTAATTAATATTGAATTTTTAATTTAACGACAAGTTGTACTGTAGCTCGGCGGTTTCTCGTCTCGTAGGATGTTAAGACAACCAAAAATTGCGATCGCCAACTGATCGCCGAGTGGGCTATCTCAAAATGAAGACAACTGTGAAAAAAGGTTATAACAAATTTAAAAAAATGTAAATTTAGCGACCTGTTTTTTTTAGTAAGTGTAATTTTTGAAGATTTGTTTTTTTTTTTATAAAATACGGGGGGACAAACGAGCACAGAGTCTACCTGATGGTAAGTGGATGCTGTTGCCCATAGACATCTACATCTATCCTCGATTAAGAATAAAAACCCAGATGCGTTGTCATCCCTCAGGACTAAGATGGAATGCCTCGTTTCCAGTAAGAAAGGGTCTACGAATCTCTACATTCACCATACGAAACACAGCAGTATTAAGCTGCTATTTTACGCTGGTATTATGTGAGAGCGTCCTTCCCCGTTTGAGCCGACCCATTCGTGCTACAACCATAATATAGCTGCAGCGTGGCTCTGCCCACGTATAAAAATGTTTAAAAAATGCTCATCAATTTTATTAAAGAATTATTTCGAGGTTGATCTCTGATAGCCAACTAGGTTATCTCAGAAAGAAAGCAATTGTAAAAATATAAAAAAAATATAAAACAATGATGAGGTAAACATAAATACATTTCGAAATATAAAATGATTTTCATTATGATTTCCTACATTTACGCGAACACTACACGTCCCTATGTCATAGCCCGGTCACCTTCAGTTTTTGAGTATTAATTTTTGGTCCGATCTACGCAGTATGACCTCACAGTACCTTGAAGTCTTGGAGTGACATTTTACTATGACATCGGGCCGTTAAATACCTCAGTAGCCCCTGTGACCATAGGTGCTGTAAAGCACCTAAAACGTCAGGATTAAAAAAGTTAAATTAAACGTGATAAAATCCGTAAAAATTAGTTTAATTTAATTATTTTCATTATCACTATTCGGTGCTGGTCTGAAATCAATATTTTTTACATTAAATGTTAAAAATAGTTCTTCTGGATAATGTAAATCATTAGAAAACCGTAAGAATATAACCGATAGATAAACACTCGAGATAAAGTTTATCGCTAACCTCTCATATCTAAACCTTACTTTAGTTACGTGCATATAACTAGAATAAACATTTAAAGGACGTATTTTAAAATTTATATGAAGAGCATGCACCGCCGTCTTAGTCGAAAGAGTTTATATGGGTCGGCTCGACAGGGGGAGGACCACGATCTCACAGAATACCAGCGTAAAATAGCAGCTTAATACTGCTGGGTTTCGTGTGGTGATTGTAGAGATCTGGAGACCCTTTTTTACTGGAAACGAGGCATTCCATCTTGGTCCTCAGGGTTGACAACTCATCTGCGTTTTGATTCTTAATCGAGGACAAATGTAGAAGTCTATGGGCCACGGCGTCCACTTCCCATCAGGTGGACTGTGTGCTCGTTTGTCACCTTTATTATATTAAAAAAATACTGACAATAAGGGATCATGATTTTGCATTGGTTTAGGTTCTATTTATCTTAAATGTACCTGTGCGACTTTTGGGTTTGATCCCTCCGGCTGGTCAGTTTCATTTCATTGTATCTTGTACTTCTTATCGAATACAAATTGCTTTGGGATCTTATCGTACTTGGCTTGTAAGATACGATCGTACTTAGCTTGTAAGATAGGAATTTTTGAGTAAATTATATCAATTATACCGGTATGGGGGACTCTACTCTTACTTAAAATATTTAGATTCTTGAATCTAATGGCACCTAAAGTTGCTTCTTGTTGTATATATATAATATGAAGCGGTGTTAGCTCCAGTATAGCCTCTAAAGCTGCCGTCGGTGTAGTTGTTATGCAGCCAATCTCTGGTAACGCTGAAGCTTTTTTATAGCGGTGGCTTCATACGTTTTGGTCCACCATACCAGTGAGCCGTATGTGATCATGGACCGAATCACAGTTTTGTACAGCCACAGTATAATTTTTGGCGTTAAACCCCATCGTTTGCCAATCATGTCTCTGCATTGCCAGAAAGTTATACTAGCTTTGTTGGTTTTATTTTCTATGTGTTTATTCCAGTTAAATGTACTGTGCGAGGTAAGACCTAAGTATTTTACCTAGAGGATAGCTGAAGTTTTGTACTGAAAGGACTTGGGAGATGATAGTTATTCAGCAATCGTTTTTATGTGAACATTACTATAACCGTTTTGTTTGGATTAACGGTTACGTCATATTCCCTGCACCATCTCTGTACTGTACGGAGAGCCGCTTGGGTCAGGTCGCATACCATGCTTGCTGTCTTTTTCAGAGACCAGTATTGTCAGATTATCTGCATAACCTACTGTGTAGAAATGATTAGCATTTAATTTGCTGATGAGTTCATTAATAACCATATTCCTCGGGAGAGGTGGAAGAACCCCACCCTGCGGGCATTATTTCATGATCTGAATTATCTGAGATTCACCAGCAATCTTTATTGTTCGTGTACTGAGCATGTTTACTATACAGTCAATCAGTGCCGGTTCAACATTATGTCTACTTAGGGCACCTTTTAGGCTGGAGAAGTTTGTTCTGTCAAAATTCCTTCTATGTCTATGAAAGAGCCTAGACATATTACTTTGTTTTGGATGGCCTCTTCAATCTTTGTTATTACGTGGTGAAGTGCCGATTCTGTCGATTTACCTGAGCTATAGGCGTGTTGTTCTTCGTGTAGCGGTAAGTTAATTAGCGCCGACCCTCTCAACTCCCGTTCACACATCCTCTCCATCGTCTTTAGGAGAAAGGACGGAATTTTAATTGTACGTTAAAAATTTTAGCAGTCCCATTCAAGTCGTTTCACTGTTATATATTTTGTTTCAGTTTCGTGATAATCGCTATGGAGGCGATGGACCAGTTACTGCTGGCCTGCCACTCACAAACGCTCAACCTCTTCGTGGAGAGCTTCCTCAAGATGGTGCAGAAGCTGCTTGAGTCCACTGACCCTCAGCTTCAGATTCTAGCAACTCAGAGTGTAAGTGATTTGTTATATTTTGTTTCTCTTTAATCGAACGTTATAATGATATTATTCATTTTCAGCCCAACCAGATGAGAATACTCTATAAATACCCCTTTATAATAACATAATATCCTTCAAACAAAATGCCGGTGATTGCGACCAGCTTTAACGAGAAGTAGCAAATACGCAGGTCAGGATTATGGTGCACGAGTGTATGTGTCCCCCTGTGTATTCCCTTAATGTATCCGTTGGGACGTCAATCCAAATCGACTGGAGAGAATTCAGGCATACGTTCAACAGCTTTACGTGTTTTCCGAAGTTTTTGTACATGGTAGAGCCAAGCTGCTACTATATAGTGGCTTCAGCACGGATGGCTGAGCTCGACAGAATATCAGTCTAAAATAGGCTCTTAATGCTGCTGTGTTTCGTATGGTAAGTGTAGAGAGAGACTCGTTTAACTGGAAACGAGGCATTCCATCTTAGTCCTCAGGGTCGTCAATGCATCTTCCTTTTCATTCATAATCGAGGATAGATTTAGAAGTCTATGGGGCACAGCACACACCATCAGGTATACTGTGTGCTCGCTTGTCACCCTTATTGTGTAATAAAGCCTGTGTGTACACTGCCCAATTTTTGACTCCGCACTGAACGACCACCAGACATCTGAATAATCAGAAAATGTTTGTATCCGTATTAAGAATCGATGATAATATAATTACATGACTATGACCTGGTATTCTCATTACGATCATCACAGCTCATGTATAATGTGTGTTGTTTAGGATTGTTTTTAACTTCAATATTGAACAATTCCAAGGCGAAGCGAGTGAGGACTTGACTTGACATGGTCACGCTACCGATTCGTTCAGTTATTGCAGCCCACTATACCTCTTTATAAGCCCACTGCTAAACATAGGCTTTGCCCTAGGAATGCCATGAAGCACGGCCCTGAGCCACCGGCATCCATCGACTTCCTGCATGTCTTACCAGGTCGTCACCCATCTATTAGGAAACCGTCCTACATTTTGTTTACCGGTACAAGGCTGCCACTCGAGAACCTTTCTTCCCCATATGTTGTCGGTTCTTCGACCTGTACAGCCGGCTCTTTGTCACTTTACCAGTAGCTTAATAATCCGTTGGACTATGTCGGTTACTCTGGTAGTCTGATTCTACTGCGGAATATCCTCATTTCTAAGTTTATCACTCAGGAAAACCCCGAACATCTCACTAACCGATCTCATAAAATTATTTTGTTTGCTAATATTAAAACGTTACCTCAACACTAGAATTTTCTCCTGTACCGTAGGGTCAGTTTATTACATTCATGAATTTCACAAGGACAAACAACCAGACCCGGCACAATTATTTGTGGGGCATACAAATACTTGTCCCGTGCGGGATTCGAACCCGCGACTGTCAGCGTTGCATCTCATTGTTAAACCACTGAGCCACGAAACTGACAAATTCAATATTATTACTTTCATCGTTACTAATAGCACTTTATAATTCCTTGTACACAGTTCGTCCGCTTCGCAAACATTGAGGAGGACACGCCTTCTTACCATCGGAGGTACGACTTCTTTGTGTCCAAGTTCTCGGCGATGTGCCACAGTAACCACAGCGACAAGGCCACCAGGGACAAGATACGTCTCGCCGGTATCATAGGCTTGCAGGTGAGGGGAAAACAGGCGTTGGAATTCATTTTGCGTCCAGCTCTGGAATTTACCGATAATTTTACGATCGCAGCCCCAGACGTGAGCATCTTTGACTCTGCTGCACGTCCTCACTCAAGATAATATATTTGTGGCGTATACAAGATGGTCTTTGGGAACGTGCTGCTATCTTGAGAAAACCGTGAGATTTCTTGACACATTTTCCACAGTCGCATCATTCGATACCAACTAGATGAATTACTGTTACGATTACCGTTACAGCTTCGTAAAATCTACTGCTTGAACACAGGTCTCTCCCATAGATTATTTCATAGGTGATGGTGGTGGTGGGGGGGATAGTTGCCACGGTTGGCTGGGTTGGCGACCGCAGTTTTTATTTAGTCGTTATTAGGAAGCCGCTGCTGCCAGTCTCCTGATTTGTTTCCCTCTGCCGCCTCTTGCGGCCCCCGCGGCATGACGTGGGCACCACACGGTAAACACCGAACGAAGTGGGGTAATGGATTTTTTATACCACCAGCACTTGTCAAACATCCTGATAAATAATGATAATTATTTAAATTGGTCTCCATAGCTTAGAGATTTGAGATGGTTTACACGTTGTAAGATTTTATTATACTACTAGCTTGCGAGGCAGACGTTGGTCTGCCCTTTTCGACGACCCTTAGTCATGTCCTATTAAAAATCGTTAAATTCGCAAAAAGAAATTGTTAGTCACTCATGGGCAAAAAAACTATCCTATCTCTTAAGTTGGACCAAACTGCACATGGTCTGCAAATTTGATTAAAATCAGTTATGTAGTTTGAGTCCATCGCGGACAAACAACGTGACACGTAATTTATATATAAAAGTTACAGCCTATATACGTCCCACTGCTGGGCACAGGCCTCCCCTCATTTCTGAGAGGGTTTTAGGGCAAGGAAGTGTCCGCCGCGCTGCCCTAATGCGTGTTGGCGAACTTCACATGTCTTCGAAATAATTTTTTTTTCTTATTCCTCAGACATGCAGGTTTCCTCACGATGTTTTCCTTCACCGCCGAGCACTTGGTAAATCAGCACTTAAAATCGCAATTAACAATTTCATTGGTGCCGGCGGGGATCAAACCCGGGTTACTCGCGTTCTGTTATATTTACATCGAGCGTTAACCATCTGAGCTACCACGACTCTAATTTATATATATTAAGATATATTTTATAGTTTTATAGCCGAAGCCTTGATTGTTGTAGTAGACAAGTGAGTCCAAAGTATAATAGAATATAATTATTTTTTATTCAATATAGATTACATTTCATTCTTAATGAAAGTATTTTGTTTACATTTGTATGATATATGTTGTATAGAATACCTTTTATATAGAGCTTGTACAAACTATCTACAAACTTTATTTTAGAAACAGCTTGGAAGCGATTACCTCATTCCCAGTGGTTATGATCAACAATGTATTCATTTATATTATACTCGTAATTATCCTTTTTCCTTTTTGTTTATACATTGTATTATATTACATAGAGAAACCCATATAATGTTGCCCTTACTCATATAATGTTCAATCAATCACTTACTGAGTGTGGAGTCGAGAAACTTGTATATAAGCGTTCGATATCAAAATAATTCAGCAGGCGGCAACCAGAGATCGATCCTGGTTGGCACTAATAACATTTGTAATTACTTTACCACGTGCCCGACCGTGAAGGAAACCCGCCATGTTAATTGTATTTAAAAGTGCCTTTTCCAATTCCTATACGCTGTTACAACGAAGTTCCAGTTAATATACGAGGTGATTTCTTTTTAATTAAACACAAACTTATAAAAAGCGTTTATTACAGTATAGCCGTTGAGTCCGTGACGTCAAATAAACAACATTTCATCGCTTGTTCTCTCACAAAAAATATTCAAATTCTTAGTTTAATTACATTTAATACAAAAGTACTAATAACTTCATACCTTTGAAGTTAAGTGTTTATTTGTTGCCGTGTATAGTGTGCCTGGCGATATAATTAGTGCAAATTACTTCAAATTCTAACAATAACAGTTCAGTTGAAAAACGATCATTCAAATTTAAATTACGTTCAGGGTGTTGACAAAAGCGCGTAAGCGACGCTAATTGCATGGCGCTAACGACCTTCTTCTCACAACATCCTACCTTAGATGCGACTTGTGAGCGGGCTTGACCAACGGCTTGCAACAAAATAATATTGCATCCTGGAGAAGAACGTGGCTGTATTTAATGTTATATGTTATATCACTAATAAACGCCAAAAAGAGAATAGTACCAATATGTGAACCCCAAGGGTACGCCTAATAGAGCCACATAATCATTAGACCTATATCCATGCAGTACGACACTTTGTAATCTATTTTTAAGATAAAAACTTAGCCAACGAAATAAATTAGCGACCCCGAAGGTGTATTTAAAAGAAAATGTAAAGACTTACTGTTACATGCCTTGCCAGATTAATGATTCAAAATTTGTTATATGTTATTATCATTAATAAACGCCAAAAAGAGAATAGTACCAACAATATGTGAACCCCAAGGGTACGCCTGATAGAGCCACATAATCATTAGACCTATATCCATGCAGTACGACACTTTGTAATCTATTTTTAAGATAAGAACTTAGCCAACGAAATAAATTAGCGACCCCAAAGGTGTATTTAAAAGAAAATGTAAAGACTTACTGTTACATGCCTTGCCAGATTAATGATTCGAAATTATTATTTATTGTAATTATTACTGGACGTGGTGCTTTTACTTTGATTGGTTAGTTTGATTTCTTTTTGTTTTAGAGTTTATATGTTGTTTAATTTTTTTTCAATAAAAAATATTTTTATAAGAGAAAAAAAAAATTAAACACCTGTAAAGACATATCCTTTATCTAAAAATGTAGTATTTTGATTGTAACAATGTTTATTGATATTGTCGATGGTGTATCTATCTAAATAAATAATAAGTAGTATAAAAATCATATCATATAATATATATCGCTTTACCGTATTTGGCTGCATCACCAGTTACCATCACCTTGGATAGCAATTAAGCACTGGCTTATAAGAGTAAAAAAATGAAGACGTGGTTTATAATGACCCCTGGGAATGAGGTGATCGCTTCCTTAAATGAGTTTTGTAAATAATTGCACAACCTTTTTCATATTGTGTAATGTTAATGTAAAACAAGTGGTCAAATTAAAAAGTTTGTACAACCGACTTCAATACAAATAAAATGATATCATCATCAACGTACTCGAAGTCAATTAAATACGCATTATTAAAGATAACTCAAAAACTACTGCTCACATCTTGATCACATTTTAATGTTACCGTATGAGAAGCATCAGCTTTCAAATAAGAAAGAATCATGAAAATTTGTTCACATAGAAAAAGTTCAACACATAAAAAACATATAGTCGAATTCAGTACCTCCTCATTTTCTTGAAGTCAGTTAAAAATTTTCTATTGGTTTCCTTGCTGGTTCTTCCCAGGACGGAGAGGTTTTCGACGAAGCAATAGTATAAGTAAAAAATGTCATTCTTTATTATTTATATATATATATATATATATATATATATACATATATATCCGCCTGCTAAACGTGGGAACTACGACTATCTTATTTGGGAGTATATGGGGAAAATCGAAATGCTGAACGGGAGTAAAAATATATTAGTCATGTAGAGGCGACGAAAAAGAAACCAATGTGGGGCATACTAGGCTGCACTAAAAGTTCGGGATTCTGGATTAGAGAAAGAGGGGGACTGAGGGTTTACTTCATTAGCTGAGACCTCTCCAACTTGACGTTTAGGTTCAGTGTGCCTCTGACCATTCGGTGATCGCTGCAAGTTTTAACTCTTGCCATCACTGAGATATCACTGAACAGTTGGCGTCTGGTCGTCATAATGAAGTCAATCTCATATTTTGTCGAACCGTCAGGGATTGACCAGGTCCACTTCCTGTGGGGCCGCTTCTGGAAGAAAGAGTTCATCATAAAGATTCCCTCTTTCTCCATAAAGTCGGTCAGCTGCTGGCCCCTACGGTTCCGTTGCCTTACTCCAAATTTCCATAAGTTCAGCTCACCGCTTTCTCCTAGTTTTGCGTTAAAGTCTCCCATCAACACCGTGTAGTGGGTTTTGGAGGAATGCATGGCTCTGGAAATATCCTCATACATTTCTTCCACCTCCTCATTGGCATGTGCCGAGGTTGGTACGTAAACCTTTATGACCTTCACCGAATACCGTTTGGTGATTCTGAGTATCAGGTACGCGACCCTCCTCGACACACTCCCAATCTTTACAACGTGTAGTGGCGTATGTCTATTTCTTTCTAGGCGTATTTGAGGTATTTCAGGTTCATGTCATATATATATATATATATATATATATATATATATATATATATATATATATATATATATATATATATATATTACTCGTGTCGAAGCGAATTTAATGGGGTCTTTACAGATACAGGGGGGATACAGGTGGCTAAGTACCTATTTTGAGACGTTCCTTGAGGAGGCCTATGTTTATCAGTTGACTTGTTGAGGGATGTAATGGTGATGATGATGCTTTGATAGCGTTCAAACAAAACTGTAATAATATATATAATATTAAGTTTAGGTCAGCAAATAAAAATCTCTTAGTGATAACACGTCAGTGCTTCTTAGCTTTATTTTCTTACATACGTGTGTTATGTAAGTTGCGAGTATCTTATAATTTTACGTATGTTACTTAATTTTGCAGTATTTGAGAGACTTTGTTAAGCTCTTAATTCAAAGGTAAAGTAAAATACTTCAAACGTTTGAGACGTCTGACATCCTTTAATATAAGAGGCCCATGAGCAACAGTTGGCTGTTAAGGGCAGTTTAAGAAGAAGATTGTGATATCTCATAAAGGAATAAATATATAGCAATATTATGTTATAGAATCACATACTTTTAGTATTTTCTCAATTATTTGATTTCTAATTTACTGCATCACCGTTTTTTTCGCCCGTTTTTTTTAATTGCCACATATAATTAAATTTAAAACTATTATGTACGCCATAATTAATAAGACATTCTATCAAAATCCACTGCCGAAGATAGATTGCCTCATAAGGGGCATGTTTGAGACGTCTGACATCCTTTAATATGAGAGGCCCATGAGCAACAGTTGCCTGTTAAGGGCAGTTTAAGAAGAAGATTGTGCTATCTCATAAAGGAATAAATATATAGCAATATTATGTTATGGAAACACATACTTTTAGTATTTTCTCAATTATTTGATTTCTAATTTACTGCATCACCGTTTTTTTCGCCCGTTTTTTTTTAATTGCGACATATAATTAAATTTAAAACTATTATGTACGCCATTCTATCAAAAATTTTTTTTGATTGCCTCATATGGCATGTTTTCCATAGTTTCCACGCTCTGCATGCAGATGGCAATCGCAGTTTTTTTATTTATTTTCTAGTTGATTTTAAGAAAGATGCTGCTACCCATCTCCTGATTTGCATCCCACTTTCGTCTCTTACGACACTCACGGGACGATATGGTGTAGTTAGGGTTGCCAGATGGTCGGGATTTGTATGTATTCTCCCGACATTTTAAATGATTTCCAGACTCCCGACAAAACTCTAAATGTCCAGATAAACATCTTCTCTTCAAATCACAGCTGCCTTTGATTTAATAAAAACTGAGTTATTACTTAGACTGGACTTTGAAGTAAATCGTTTGAATTTTTATACTTCTAAAGTTTCACAATATGTAAATAACAAGTTAAGCACTTCTAAATGGTTTCTTAAGGTTTACTTGAATTAGTTATGTGCCAACAGTTCAACAGTGTTAAGTCTTTCTGTAGCCCACTGATTTAAAAATAAACTTTTTATTTTACATTTAATTCTCCAAACAACTATAACCAAAATGCCAACATTTTCAAATTTTCTCCAGATATTTTGGTCTTTCGGTCTGGCATTCCCAGGTGTAGTAGATATTTTTAGACCCCTATTACACGGTAACTGCCAGCACTGAATGATTAATTTACACTGCTATTACACGGTAACGGTATTAACATTAATTGGAATATCAGATAATTAGTTTACCAGGGGCATACTAGGCTGCACTAAAAGTATCGGGAATGGAATAATTCCACTGTTCCTGTCATATTAAAGTCTTTTTAATTGAAAACTCCTTCGTTTTAAAAATCGAATACCATTTATTTTAAAGAGAAACTTGTTTAGTCGTTGAGAAAATGGAATTGACTCGAGAAAATTCAAGAGCGACGATTTATTATGACTTTCGAAGTGGTTTAACACAAAAACAGTGTGTTGACCGGATGATTTCTGCATTTGGTGATGAAACCCCATCCAAAACCACAATTTATCGCTGGTTTGCTGAATTTAAACGTGGACGTGTCAAGCTCAGTAATGATCCCCGTCAAGGTTGTCCAAAAACTGCAGTCACCCAAGAAAACGTTGATGCTGTGCGTAAGCTGATTGAGAAAGATCGACATGTGACATACCGCGAAATTCAGGCAACTTTAGACGTTGGCATGAGTCAAATACAAATAATCTTGCATGAACAATTAGGTTGCAATGCAGTGGACGATATGAATGACAAGCTCGTGGAAACTGTCAATGCGGTCGGAGCTAAGTTCTGCAAGACCCGCCGCAGAAGAACACAAAAACTCTCCGATCACACTCTTAATCTCATGGCTGTTAGACGGGAGATGAGGCTGCAATCGTCAACAGATTTGACAGCATACAGGCAACTGAACAGACAGATCTCCAGATGCATGCGGCGAGACTTACGCAACTTTAATACTGCTTGTATTAAAGAAGCGATCGAGCGGAACCAGGTCTCCAAAGTCTTTGCCAGAGATCTGTCTGCCAGTAAGAGCCAACTGTCAAAGCTGAAGACTGAGTGTGGCAGCATCGTTTCCGCGACACCTGAGATTTTGAGTGAGATTGAGAGGTTCTATTGGCAGCTGTACACATAATCGTTGGAGCCACACGCAAGTGTGAGTAACGATCCAAGAGCAAGTCTTATCCGACACTATTCCGATGATATCCCGAACGTCAGTCTAAGCGAGATTAGAATGGCTCTCCAGCACCTTAAAAACGGCAGGGCCCCAGGCGAGGATGGAATTACAGCGGAGCTTCTGAAAGTGGGTGGAACACCGGTACTTGAAGTCCTTCAGAAGCTCTTCAATTCCGTCCTCCATGGTGGCACTACTCCAGAGGCGTGGAGCAGAAGTGAGGTGCTCTTGTTCTTTAAGAAAGGAGACAACGCTCTCTTGAAGAACTACAGACCAATTTCCCTTCAGAGCCGCGTCTACGTGCTGTTTTCGAGAGTCATTACGAATCGTCTCGCACGCAGACTCGACGACTTCCAGCCTCCCGAACAAGCCGGTTTCCGAAAAGGCTTCAGTACCATAGACCACATACATACCCTGCGGCAGATTGTACAGAAGACTGAAGAGTACAATCTGCCACTTTGCCTGGCGTATGTGGACTATGAAAAAGCCTTTGATTCCGTCGAAATTTGGGCGGTGCTACAGTGCCTTCAGCGGTGCCAGTGTGTAGTATATCGAAGTGCTGAAGTGTTTGTACAGTAAGGGCTACGGTGGCTATCCGAGTACGGAACCAGAGTACGAAACCTATCCAACTGCAGAGAGTTGTAAGACAGAGTGACGTTATATCCCCGAAACTCTTCACCGCTGCATTGGAAGACGTTTTCAAGCTACTGGACTGGAAAGGATACGGTATTAACATCAATGGCGAGTACATCACTCACCTTCGATTTGCCGACGATATAGTCCTTATGGCAGAATCGCTGGAGGACTTAAGCACTATGCTCAATTACCTCAATAGTGCCTCCCAACGGATAGGTCTTAAGATGAACATGGACAAAACAAAGATTATGTTTAATGTCCATGTCACGCCTATGCCGGTAGTTGTTGGGAGCACTATGCTCGAGGTTGTTGACGAGTACGTTTACCTGGGACAAATAGTCCGACTAGGTAAGTCCAACTTCGACCGAGAGGTCAATCGACGGATTCAACTCGGCTGGGCAGCGTTCGGGAAATTACGACATATCTTCTCGTCAGGTATACCTCAATCTTTAAAAACTAGATTGTACAACCAGTGCGTGTTGCCAGTGATGACTTACGGATCTGAGACGTGGTCCTTCACTGCTGGCCGTATGAAGACGCTCAAGGTCGCTCAGCGAGCTATGGAGAGGGCTATGCTCGGAGTTTCTCTGCGTGATAGACTCAGAAATGATGATATCCGCAGTAAAACCAGAGTGACCGACATAGCCCAACGGATTAGTAAGCTGAAGTGGCAATGGGCCGGCCATATAGCTCGAAGAACCGATAACCGATGGGGAAGAAAGGTTCTCGAGTGGCAGCCTCGTACCGGTAGGCGTAGTGTAGGGCGACCCCCCACTAGATGGACTGACGACCTGGTAAGATATGCAGGAAGTCGATGGATGCAGTTGGCTCAGGACCGTGATTTGTGGCATTACTTGGGGAGGCCTATGTTCAGCAGTGGACTTGTGAAGAGCTGTAATGATGATGACGATGATGATGAACAATTAGGTGTAAAAAAGTTGTTTTCCCGATGGATATCGCATTGCTCACATCGCTCTGTGAAGAACAAAATAGTTTTTAGAGCAAGAAAACATAGAATTATTAGAACATCCGCCGTACAGCCCCAACCTAAGCCCTAATGATTTCTATACTTTCCCTAAAATAAAGAATAAATTGCGTGGACAGAGATTTTCATCACCTGAAGAAGCTGTGGACGCCTACAAAACGGCCATTTTGGAGACCCCAACTTCCAAATGGAATGGTTGCTTCAATGATTGGTTCCATCTTATGGAAAAAGGTGTCAAATTTCGCGGAGAATACTTCGAAAAGCAATAAATACATTTTTAAATAGTAATGTTGTGTCACTTGATTCCCGAAATTTTCAGTGCCGCCCTCGTACAATCACTATACGAAACAGCAGCATTAAGCTGCCACTTTCCGCTGGTATTCTGTGAGATTATACATTATATTCGTGCTACAACCACAATATGCAGCATGGCTCTACCACGTAAAATCCGTAAGGGAACACCTATTTTTGTAATATACAAATAAGGCCTGAGTGGTGAAGGTTAGTATCCGTTGACAGAAGAATTATTGTTGCAGGGCGTCATAAGGAAAACGGTGTCCGATGACCTGGTGGAGAACATTTGGGAGGCGCAGCATATGGACAAAATTGTGCCCTCGCTGCTCTACAACATGCAGGTACAACATGCAATTTTTAGCTTTGTAGTCCGTTTGGATCGCTGAAATGTTCAAGATGCGTTTTTGTTAGTACTATAGGCCTTACTTATATTTTTTTGTGATTTGAAAACTCATTTGTACTTTTTCACAATATTTATTAAAAATTAATATTTCTGTACAGAGTTATTTTTCAAAGAGTATCCAAATTTTATATTTAAGTTCAGATATATAAATAGCGGTATACCGTTATTGCATATTTTAAAAATACGAGTAAAAGAGGTTTCTACTTTTATTTGAAATTATTCCACATTGAATGTGATTTATGGGCAACAACTAAGCGACCGCGCGCTCTTATGTTTCGGTTCGTTTCGACGGTTTTGCCCACCGAGTGACCCTTACGAATGTGTGTGTGCGTATTGAAATAGTAGGCGTTAGATATGCCTCCCAACGGATAGGTCTTAAGATGAACATGGACAAAACGAAAGTCACCACCTATGCCTATGTATAGTCCGACTAGATTTGTTAGGAGTACTACACTCGAAGTTGTCGACGAGTATGTTTATCTAGGACAAATAGTCCGACTAGGTAAGTTCAACTTCGCCCGAGATGACGACGGACGGACTTAACTGGCTGGGCAGCGTTCGTGAGATGACAACACATCTTTTCGTCAGGTATAACTCAAAATTTGAAAACAATATTTACAATCAGTACGTGTTGTCAGTAATGACTTATGGATCTGAGACTTGGTCCTTCCCTTATGGCTGTATGAGGAAGCTCAAGGTCGCTCAGCGAGTTATGGGGAGGCTATACTCGGCGTTTCTCTGCGTGATATACTTAATGCTACCGTGATAGATTTAACTTACTATAAAAATGAGGATATCCGTTGTATAACAAAATTAACCGACGTAGCCCAACTGACTAATAAGCTGAAGAGGCAATTGACTGACAATATAGCTCGTAGAGCTGACAACTGTTGTGAAAGAAAGGTAGGGCAGCTTCCCACTAGATGGAGTGACGACCTGGTAGGAGATGCAGGAAGTCGATGGATGCAGGTGGCTCAAGATCGTGTTTTACGGCATTCCTTGTGAGAGGCCTATGTTCAGCAGTGGACTTCTTAAGAACTGTAATGATGATGACGATGATGATGACATCGATAGCTGTGTGATGTTGGCAGAGCGCGGAGAAGTACGAGACAGTGTCGTGCATGGAGGCAGAGTCTTCCAGAGACGGCGGGGACGAGGACCCCGCCCGACTGGCGGAGGCGTGCCTGCGCGAGCTGGTGGGCCGTGCCTCCTTCGGCCATATCCGCAGCGTGCTGCGCCCTGTGCTCACGTGAGCCCCACCGCCACCCCACACTGCACCACACCACACCACACACCACAACATTACAACCTGCACTACACCCTACGCCCTCACACTACATTCTATACCACACCTTTATTAAACACTTAACACCACTACTATTTAAAACTACATCCTTTGCTACTAAACTACATCCTACACTACGCCCTATTCTATTACACTCCACCCTACACCACTATACTACGCCCTACATTACTACACTACATCACCTCAATACTATAACACCACAATATTATACTATACCACTACACTACACTTACACTACATACAACAGCCTACGCTACTATACTACTACACTACACCAACCAAATACAGCGTTTTTCTTCAACATCATTATTTTTATGCGTGGTAGTACGTAGGAGATATATTATAGTAAGTAGTTGTAGTTGTAGTGTGAATTGGTCTGCTCGACTGGGGAAGAATAACCCTCTCACACAATCGTCAATCTATTTACGAGCATAATGCCACTTTATCTTGTTTTACTTCTATAAATTTCTGTATGTTGATTTATAAATTTCTAAACTAATAAATATGTCGCAGTGCCGCTGTGGGTAGTCGGAATTATTGTAAACAACACGTGCACCGCACACCTGCGCATTGCACCTGCAGTGGCGCTCGGGTAGCTACTTGTCTCGATTGTATAAAACGGACGCAGCGGCCGCCGTTAAGGCAGTCTTGGCGCTGGCGTGGCACGGTGCGCTAGTTGTATACTGCTACTAGCTCATCCTCGACTATTCGGATAATTAATTCGTGAAAAAGAATTATAGTCAACCAAATCTAAGAAATACCTTTTGACGTTTCACATTAATCATTCCGCAATAACTTTGCACCAGCGTACTCACACGATTTTAAATAACCTTTTACGTAAATCCGAAGAATAAGAAGTTAACTATATTTCGTTACAACGTGTATAGTTTTTTATCGCTAATTTAAATTTGACTTTTTCAAACAAACCAAATATTAAAAAATAACCAGTATTGATTTTACTTGACGTCGTTTCAATGATATGTCGCTATATACATATAATACCGTAGTGTTTGGACGATTAAAATTCGTTGTTATGCGAATGATCGGCAAAATATTCAAATAAAAGGTAAACATTTTCAAATAATCGAATCATTAACTTTTTTAATGTATTATTTGTTTAATTTTATTTTCAAAATTCCTTAACTTACATGAATCATGAATAAAACAAGTTTTTTTTACTTTGTTAAAGTAAATTTGTGTAGACAAAGAACTCATACACAAGGCCGCGCTAAAATAACCACTACATAACTTAAATATCCCGCCATTTTGATACCAGTTACTCGACTCCACAGAGTCAGTAATTCATTCTTGGGGCGATCGATACACTTTTACAACAAAATCCCAGAAAATATACAAAATTTGACGTAAGTACACAAAGTTTAAAAACTTTATTGAGCTAAGTTTGTATAAAAAAATTTGTTTTGTATTGTTAATTATAACATGCATTACACGCTCTTTTAAAAAAAAAAACTAGTCCCGTTGGGTTTCTTGCTGGTTCTTCCCAGGACAGAGGTTTTTTTTGTGAACCAGTGGTAAATGAAAAAATAAAGTAAATAGTAAAGTATTATTCATAATCAATATTGAATAAAAAAGTTTCTGTTTCTGTTTCGAGAGCTTACTGTGCGTAATTTTGTGGTGGTTTGTTTGTCTTCTCATTTGTGACTCTGCTTTAACTTGTTGTGTACGTCTAGAGCCACGCTACATCTATATTATAGTTGTAGCACGCATGGGCCGGCTCGACCGGGGCAGGACCACGCTCTCACAGAATACCAGTGTAAAATAGCAGCGTAATGCTGCTGTGTTTCGTATGGTGAGTGTAGAGAACCGGAGACCCTTTTTACTGGAATCGAAGCATTCCATGTTAATCCTCTGGGGTGACAACGCATTTTCATTTTGATTCTTAATTGAGAATACATATGTCTATGGGTCATAGCATCCACTTACCATCAGGTATACTGTGCGCTCGTTTTTTGCCCAATGCTATAAAATATATATCGTTGAAGCATGTGCCCATGTCACAAAGGATGATTGGGCAAAAGTGGTAGAGATAACAAAAAATTGATTATGGACGACTTTGAAAGAGACATTAACTTTGACTGCATAAAAAATCAAAAAATAATTAATAATCATCTGAAAATCAAATAATAATTAATATAAACAACGACATCTCTACTAGTTTTACTGAAAGCGATTGAATAAATTTATTTTTAATCTAGTTTCAATCTTAAATTTTTATAACTGTGCCTCTAAAAATAAGCAGTAACAAAATAACAAATACAAAGAAACTGTTTTTAATTTATTCTGGTATTATTAAAACCTAATTAAATGATTACCAACTCTAAATAATCGATATCGATTTTTTTAAGAATCGAATATTATACGTTCCCATTTTTTGGTTGGCATGCTTGGTGCAATAAGTCTGACAGCTGTCAAAATGTATTTCTTAGATTTGGTTGACTATAATTATTATTATCAGCTATTAAATTAGTCTCAGTACAATTTATAGTTGATTACCTGTGATCCGTGTATTTTATGATTGTAAATTAATTCTATTTAACTACCTTCCTACAAATACATAATTTAAGGTATATTTCGATAAGAGACTGGTGATTCTTGACATTTTTTAACACTTCTTCGCCATGAGATCTGTCAAATATTATACTTTTTTCCAAAATGACGCCGATCTGCTAACATAAAAGTTGCACTAATTGTATCATAATATGTTCATTGAAGTCTTATGTATATTTTTTTCAGACACTTCGATCGACATGAGCTTTGGGTCCCGAACGACTTCGCAGTACATACATTCAAGATTATAATGTTCTCGATTCAGGTGTGTTTAATGTCAATTTTTATTTTTATGATATTTTTTTTAAATAAAACTGAAGCGTAATGATTTCTTATATTTACGCGAACACTACACATTGAAATAATACTAATTTTTACGGAATTTATCGCGTATATTTAACTTTTTTTACCCGACGTTTCGAGAGCTTTACAGCACCCATGGTCACGGGAAGGACTGAGATGTTCAACGTCCAGCTGTCATAGTTAACCGCGGTTACCATAGATTAAAATTTAACTTTTGTTCCGATCTACACAGTATGAACTTATGGTATCATGGAGTCTTGCAGTTGTATGCTTGGGTTGGGATTTAATTTTATTTATTATAGGATCCCAAGCAGATGGTAGCACCCAGCCATCTTCTCTATTGAAATTAGGATGTTTTTTGATTTCAATAGCCTCGCGAATCATCCTTGGAAGGAATCGGTGTTCTTTAGCGAGGATTTGTGGTCTATCAAATCTGATGTAGTGACGGGGGCGATCCTGTACATGTTCACAGACTGCAGACTTCCCGGAGCGTCGATTCTTCACATCAGCTATATGTTCTTTGACGCGGGTTTTAATTGATCTTTTAGTTTGTCCTATGTAGGAGAGACCACATTCACAATCAAGCTTGTACACTCCTGCATCTTGCAGAGGGACGTTACACTTGACTGATGGTAAAAACTGACCAATCTTCTTCGGCGGCTTGAAGTATGTTTTGATGGAAGCGCGCTTCAAGATGTAGCCAATCTTGTCAGTGACTCCTCTAACATATGGCAGTACAGCAGGTACACGCTCGACTGTGGCCGGCTTCACTCGTTCTCTGTGACGTAGGCGCGGGACCCGAAGCTTGTTGTCATGCAAAACTTGCTTGACATGTTGGAGCTCGGCAGCCAGGTGTTTACTGTCACAGATCCCTCGTGCTCTCTGAAACAAAGATTTACCCACGGTAGCTAACTGTGAAGGATGGTGGTGAGAATCACCGTTTAAATATCTATCTGTATGGGTCTTTTTTCTATACACAGTATGGCTCAAGGTGTTATCAGGATTCCGAATTACTAACACATCTAGAAAAGCTAAGGAATTGTTTGCCTCTAACTCCATTGTGAACTGAATTTTTAGTATTTATAGAGTTAAGATGGTCTAAAAATGCAGTTACTTTATCTAAAGGTAGAATTGTGAAAGTGTCGTCTACGTACCGCTTGTAGAATCTTGGATTTATGGGAGAAGTAAGCAGGGCTTTCTCCTCAAAGTCTTCCATGAATATGTCGGCGACAATGGGAGATACAGGTGAGCCCATCGCCACACCATCTACTTGCTTGTAGAACTCCTCCTTCCACAATAGGTAGCCAGATGTAAGGCAGTGTCTGAGTAATACTGCATATTCTACGGGCATGTTGTTTTCTTCCAGCCTTCTAGTTACAATTGAGATGCAGTCTTCAACAGGTAAGCATGTAAACAATGACTGCACATCAAAACTGACCATAGTTTCATTGTCTGCCAGACGTAGGTCTTTAATCTCGCTGACAAAATGATAGGAATCCTTTATGTGTGCTCTTGTATGTCCCCTGAGCGGTGAGAGTATTTTCGCTAAGTGTTGAGCCAATCTGTAAGTTGGTGAATCGATTTGGCTCACTATGGGGCGTAATGGAGCATTGGGCTTGTGTATTTTTGGTAACCCATACAACTTTGGTGATTTGGCGCACGTAGGTATTATCCATTTTACGTCCAGATTTAATTTTTCGGAGTGTTTCTTTATGAGGTCACTAGTTGTTTTTAGTGTGCTGTTTGTTGGGTCGTTTTTAACCTTTTTATAAGTACTTACATCCGACAAAAGTTCTTGTATTTTAGAATTATAATTTGACGTATCCATGACCACCGTGGCGTTTCCCTTATCTGCGCGGAGAATCGTAAGTTCTGGTTTATTGCGTAGGTTCTTTAACGCTATAAATTCGTCTCTGGGAAGATTCGGTTTAGGCACTGAACATCGACGTAACATAGACGAAATGTCTTGACGTATCGCCTCCAAATCTTCTTTCCGCATATTGTTTTTAAGTAAACAGTCCTCGACACTACAGATAATTTCTTCGTACGGTATCCAAAGGACTAAATTACGCTATAACTCCAAGCAGATTACCGTACGAAGAAATTATCTGTAGTGTCGAGGACTGTTTACTTAAAAACAATATGCGGAAAGAAGATTTGGAGGCGATACGTCAAGACATTTCGTCTATGTTACGTCGATGTTCAGTGCCTAAACCGAATCTTCCCAGAGACGAATTTATAGCGTTAAAGAACCTACGCAATAAACCAGAACTTACGATTCTCCGCGCAGATAAGGGAAACGCCACGGTGGTCATGGATACGTCAGATTATAATTCTAAAATACAAGAACTTTTGTCAGATGTAAGTACTTATAAAAAGGTTAAAAACGACCCAACAAACAGCACACTAAAAAACTACTAGTGACCTCATAAAGAAACACTCCGAAAAAATTAAATCTGGACGTAAAATGGATAATACCTACGTGCACCAAATCACCAAAGTTGTATGGGTTACCAAAAATACACAAGCCCAATGCTCCATTACGCCCCATAGTGAGCCAAATCGATTCACCAACTTACAGATTGGCTCAACACTTAGCGAAAATACTCTCACCGCTCAGGGGACATACAAGAGCACACATAAAGGATTTCTACCATTTTGTCAGCGAGATTAAAGACCTACGTCTGGCAGACAATGAAACTATGGTCAGTTTTGATGTGCAGTCATTGTTTACATGCTTACCTGTTGAAGACTGCATCTCAATTGTAACTAGAAGGCTGGAAGAAAACAACATGCCCGTAGAATATGCAGTATTACTCAGACACTGCCTTACATCTTCTACAAGCAAGTAGATGGTGTGGCGATGGGCTCACCTGTATCTCCCATTGTCGCCGACATATTCATGGAAGACTTTGAGGAGAAAGCCCTGCTTACTTCTCCCATAAATCCAAGATTCTACAAGCGGTACGTAGACGACACTTTCACAATTCTACCTTTAGATAAAGTAACTGCATTTTTAGACCATCTTAACTCTATAAATACTAAAATTCAGTTCACAATGGAGTTAGAGGCAAACAATTCCTTAGCTTTTCTAGATGTGTTAGTAATTCGGAATCCTGATAACACCTTGAGCCATACTGTGTATAGAAAAAAGACCCATACAGATAGATATTTAAACGGTGATTCTCACCACCATCCTTCACAGTTAGCTACCGTGGGTAAATCTTTGTTTCAGAGAGCACGAGGGATCTGTGACAGTAAACACCTGGCTGCCGAGCTCCAACATGTCAAGCAAGTTTTGCATGACAACAAGCTTCGGGTCCCGCGCCTACGTCACAGAGAACGAGTGACGCCGGCCACAGTCGAGCGTGTACCTGCTGTACTGCCATATGTTAGAGGAGTCACTGACAAGATTGGCTACATCTTGAAGCGCGCTTCCATCAAAACATACTTCAAGCCGCCGAAGAAGATTGGTCAGTTTTACTCAGTCAAGTGTAACGTCCCTCTGCAAGATGCAGGAGTGTACAAGCTTGATTGTGAATGTGGTCTCTCCTACATAGGACAAACTAAAAGATCAATTAAAACCCGCGTCAAAGAACATATAGCTGATGTGAAGAATCGACGCTCCGGGAAGTCTGCAGTCTGTGAACATGTACAGGATCGCCCCCGTCACTACATCAGATTTGATAGACCACAAATCCTCGCTAAAGAACACCGATTCCTTCCAAGGATGATTCGCGAGGCTATTGAAATCTAAAAACATCCTAATTTCAATAGAGAAGATGGCTGGGTGCTACCATCTGCTTGGGATCCTATAATAAATAAAATTAAATCCCAACCCAAGCATACAACTGCAAGACTCCATGATACCATAAGTTCATACTGTGTAGATCGGAACAAAAGTTAAATTTTAATCTATGGTAACCGCGGTTAACTATGACAGCTGGACGTTGAACATCTCAGTCCTTCCCGTGACCATGGGTGCTGTAAAGCTCTCGAAACGTCGGGTAAAAAAGTTAAAATATACGCGATAAATTCCGTAAAAATTAGTATTATTTCAAAACTGAAGCGATATAGAACTTACAGACTACCTGATGGTAGCTGCACCTGTAGTCCACTTCAATCAAAGTTGGATACGGATGCTTTGTCGCCTCTGAAGAGTAAGATCGAACTCCTTACAGCCTGTAATTATATTACAATATAGTCCGCAATAATACTGAAATAGGTAAAAGGTTAAAAAAAAACAAGGACAAAGGTCCTTGCGCTTTCGCAAATTCGCAGGCGCAAGGCCGCCCGCTTTTCAGTCACCTGTAATCAGCTACGGCATGACGTCGTATTGTTTATGTTTCCGCGTGTGTATCGGCCGCCCGCTGATAGTTATCGTAAACATGTACCAATACTCTAAGAGTATCTCGCAATGGCGAGATACTCTTTTGTCTTGTCTGGTAGCAACTTGGATGGTGCGACGAGTCGATGTTTACCCGTATTGGAATTTACAACGTGCACAATGAGCACTGGTGGAGTTTCTAAAACCCACACAAAATCAAAGAACATGCTCATCAAGTTCATTTTAGTGTTAACGTTTGGGCGGCAATCATTATCATCAATTGTCCAATATGGATTGAAGGACGATTGATGGGAGCAACGTCTGCAAATGATACGTTCCGTCATAGACACAATGTTGAAAAACGCTCAGAGGAGAGCCATCTGCAAGAAATGTACTTCCAGCACGGCGGATGTCCAGCTCATTACGAACGATCTGTGCGGTCATATCTGGACCACCAATTCGGTGATTGGTGGTAGGCTGACCTGTGAGTTGTGTGTGTTCCAGGCGCAGTATTCGTATAGCGTGGTGGAGGCTCTAATGCAGCACCTTGATGCTGGCTCTGGAGGGGGGCCGGCCAGGACACGCGTGCGTGCCGCCCGGGCCTCCGTGCTCAGCAACATCGTCGCCATCGCCGCCGCGGACAGCGTAGGTGAGTGCACTGCGGCGCAGTACGAACAGCCTGCTGGAGGCTGATGCAGCACCTGAACGTGCTCAGTAACATCGTGGCTGAGTGCACTGCGGTGCAGTACGTGCAACGTGCTGGAGGCTGATGCAGCACCTGGACGTGCTCGGCAACGTAGTGAGTGAGTGCACTGCGGTGCAGTACGTGCAGCGTGCTGGAGGCTGATGCAGCACCTGGACGTACTCAGCAACATCGTGGGTGAGTGCACTGCGGTGCAGTACGTGCAGCGTGCTGGAGGCTGATGCAGCACCTGGACGTACTCAGCAACATCGTGGGTGAGTGCACTGCGGTGCAGTACGTGCAGCGTGCTGGAGGCTGATGCAGCACCTGGACGTACTCAGCAACATCGTGGGTGAGTGCACTGCGGTGCAGTACGTGCAGCGTGCTGGAGGCTGATGCAGCACCTGGACGTACTCAGCAACGTCATGGGTGAGTGCACTGCGGTGCAGTACGTGCAGCGTGCTGGAGGCTGATGCAGCACCTGGACGTACTCAGCAACGTCGTGGGTGAGTGCACTGCGGTGCAGTACGTGCAGCGTGCTGGAGGCTGATGCAGCACCTGGACGTACTCAGCAACGTCATGGGTGAGTGCACTGCGGTGCAGTACGTGCAGCGTGCTGGAGGCTGATGCAGCACCTGGACGTACTCAGCAACGTCGTGGGTGAGTGCACTGCGGTGCAGTACGTGCAGCGTGCTGGAGGCTGATGCAGCACCTGGACGTGCTCAGCAACGTCGTGGGTGAGTGCACTGCGGTGCAGTACGTGTAGCGTGCTGGAGGCTGATGCAGCACCTGGACGTGCTCAGCAACGTCGTGGGTGAGTGCACTGCGGTGCAGTACGTGCAGCGTGCTGGAGGCTGATGCAGCACCTGGACGTGCTCGGCAACATCGTGAGTGAGTGCACTGCGGTGCAGTACGTGCAGCGTGCTGGAGGCTGATGCAGCACCTGGACGTGCTCGGCAACGTCGTGGGTGAGTGCACTGCGGTGCAGTACGTGCAGCGTGCTGGAGGCTGATGCAGCACCTGGACGTGCTCGGCAACGTCGTGGGTGAGTGCACTGCGGTGCAGTACGTGCAGCGTGCTGGAGGCTGATGCAGCACCTGGACGCGCTCGGCAACATAGTGAGTGAGTGCACTGCGGTGCAGTACGTGCAGCGTGCTGGAGGCTGATGCAGCACCTGGACGTGCTCGGCAACATAGTGAGTGCACTGCGGTGCAGTACGTGCAGTGTGCTGGAGGCTGATGCAGCACCTGGACGTGCTCGGCAACATAGTGAGTGAGTGCACTGCGGTGCAGTACGTGCAGCGTGCTGGAGGCTGATGCAGCACCTGGACGTGCTCGGCAACATAGTGAGTGCACTGCGGTGCAGTACGTGCAGCGTGCTGGAGGCTGATGCAGCACCTGGACGTGCTCGGCAACATAGTGAGTGCACTGCGGTGCAGTACGTGCAGTGTGCTGGAGGCTGATGCAGCACCTGGACGTGCTCGGCAACATAGTGAGTGCACTGCGGTGCAGTACGTGCAGTGTGCTGGAGGCTGATGCAGCACCTGGACGTGCTCGGCAACATAGTGAGTGAGTGCACTGCGGTGCAGTACGTGCAGCGTGCTGGAGGCTGATGCAGCACCTGGACGTGCTCGGCAACATAGTGAGTGCACTGCGGTGCAGTACGTGCAGCGTGCTGGAGGCTGATGCAGCACCTGGACGTGCTCGGCAACATAGTGAGTGCACTGCGGTGCAGTACGTGCAGCGTGCTGGAGGCTGATGCAGCACCTGGACGTGCTCGGCAACGTAGTGAGTGAGTGCACTGCGGTGCAGTACGTGCAGCGTGCTGGAGGCTGATGCAGCACCTGGACGTGCTCGGCAACATCGTGTGAGTGCACTGCGGTGCAGTACGTGCAGCGTGCTGGAGGCTGATGCAGCACCTGGACGTGCTCGGCAACATAGTGAGTGCACTGCGGTGCAGTACGTGCAGCGTGCTGGAGGCTGATGCAGCACCTGGACGTGCTCGGCAACGTAGTGAGTGAGTGCACTGCGGTGCAGTACGTGCAGCGTGCTGGAGGCTGATGCAGCACCTGGACGTGCTCGGCAACGTAGTGGTGAGTGCACTGCGGTGCAGTACGTGCAGTGTGCTGGAGGCTGATGCAGCACCTGGACGTGCTCGGCAACGTAGTGGGTGAGTGCACTGCGGTGCAGGCGCGTGCTGGAGGCTGATGCAGCACCTGGACGTGCTCGACAACGTCGTAGTGAGTGCACTGCGGTGCAGTACCTGCAGCGTGCTGGAGGCTGATGCAGCACCTGGACGTGCTCTGCAACATCGTGAGTGAGTGCACTGCGGTGCAGTACGTGCAGCGTGCTGGAGGCTGATGCAGCACCTGGACGTGCTCGGCAACGTAGTGGGTGAGTGCACTGCGGTGCAGTACGTGCAGTGTGCTGGAGGCTGATGCAGCACCTGGACGTGCTCGGCAACGTAGTGAGTGAGTGCACTGCGGTGCAGTACGTGCAGCGTGCTGGAGGCTGTTGCAGCACCTGGACGTGCTCTGCAACGTCGTGGGTGAGTGCACTGCGGTGCAGTACGTGCAGCGTGCTGGAGGCTGATGCAGCAACTGGACGTGCTCGGCAACGTCGTGGGTGAGTGCACTGCGGCGCAGTACGTACAGCGTGCTGGAGACAATGAGGGTGACAGACAAGCACACAATCCACCCAATAGTAAGTGATGATGTAGACTACTGATATCTACATTTAAACTAGATTAGGAATTAGAATGCAATGAACGTTGTCACCCCTGAAAACTAAGATGGAATACTTCTTTCCAGAAAATACGGTCTCCGGTTTTCTGCACTCACCATACAAACCACAGTAGCATCAATCTGTTATTTGACGCTGGTATTCTTTGCGAGTGTACAACCATGATATAACTGCAGTGGCTTTACATTTTCTCATGCTTTACATTGACCACAGGTGTTATTACGATACTATTACTTAAAACATAGCATTTAAATGTTTTTCAATACACACGTAATACACCGCCAACCTCCCAATCCTAAAATAATTTCTTGACACAATCCCAATAACTTATTTCGGAATCCAAACCCAGGATTCCATGATCAACAATCACATTTAGCACTACTAGATTAACGAGGGAGTGTCACTAACCAAAAAACTATATTTATGGACAAAATAAATTATTTTCACAATATGTGTTGATTAATGCAAAAAAGTAAATCACACAATCTGAATCGAATAGATGGCGCTGTAGTCGAGGTCGCTACCTACCGTAAAAGGCAGAACAACGTGCCCTTTGAAGCCTATAATTCCAGGGTGCGGAGCCCGAACTTAAAATTTTATGGGTTCCTCCAACCTGCCATTCGACTACCGTTGAGAACCAATGGGAATACAAGCATTTTAAAAGAATAAACTTTATTATTATTATTAATTAATTTAAGCGTACCAGGAGTGGTTTAAGGGAGTGTTAGTAATGTTAATATCATTGCTGGTATTATTTTTTTAATTTTTATTTAAAATGTAGAAAAAAAGATAGTAAAATATTATAAAAAATATTTTTAGTGTGTATTTTCATACCAATCATTTAATTTCAGGTCCCTCCGTTTTGGAAATAATCAACAACCTTCTCACAAACCTGAGAGCATCAGTGGCGAGGGACTCAGAGGTAACTACACCAAGTTGTTATTATTATAAAAGAGTGATTTAAAAGTTGTTTCATAACGTGTATGAATTTCATCCTTCATTTTTACAGTCTAAAAATGTCAACTGCTAAACATAAACCTCCCCCAAAGGTCGCTTCATAGATTCCGCCGCAGTCGCCACAGTCGCCGCGCTCGACAGGCGGATTAGCAACCGCAGTTTTTTATTAAGTTTTTATTAGGAAGACGCTGCTGTCCACATCCTGCTCTGTATCCCTCCGTCGCCTCTTACGATACCGACGGGACGATATGGTGCAGTCGACAGTCATACACTGCCGCTGCACGGTTCGCCCGGGTGAGATCTATTAATGCGGCGTCGTTTAGATATTTTAATATAATCATCAATGTTCATTTATTTTAACAACGAAGGCTAGTAATCTTTCGCTCAACAGATGTCGCTAGTTGTCACTGATGTGAAGTTCTTTGTTACACAATGTCATTTAATTGAGAAGTTAGTTAATAAAAGTTTATCAATTTCTAGAGTTTTATAAACAATGCCTCGGTGGTATGCATTTTAATTTTTTTCTGTTTTATAAGTTTTCTAACTTTATGAACTTGAACTATGAAGTTATTTTTAATTTAATTAATATTACACCACATTTTAAGTGGCGCCGCCCTGGTGGCAGAAAAAGTCGTGGACACTACCATTTCATAGTAAATATCCAAGTTTTTCAGAGAAAATAGAGCCTAGTTCACTCCTAGTAGTGCTTTTTACCTGTTTATGAAGTTTCATTACAATCAGTTCACCCATTCCGAAGATTAGCACAAACAGAATAAAGAAAAAAAATTCAAAAAGAGTTATGTGGTCTTTTAGACATGCAAGTAACAATGAGCAGGCTCTTCTTCGGAGAAATATCACGGCTCGAATAACCACATTATTCCTGCCCACACGCAAAATACGCGCTTAGACTTGGAGTTGCGGAAAACAGCCTGTCGTAAACTAAACTAAACTCCAATGAGCTCAATAAAATGCAGTTATTTCGATCTTACAGATTGACACTACAATTTTATTTATATGTATATATTTATATGTGTATATGTATTTTTTATTTTACAGGATAGGGTGACAAACGAGCACACAATCCACCTGAAAAAGGGTCTCCAGTTCTCTACACTCATCATACGAAACATAGCAACATTAAGCTACTATTTTACGCTGATATTCCCCGACCCGACCCATTCGTGCTACAATTATACTACTAATATGCAGCATTGCTCTACCACGTATAAAATGTCTGTGTATGTATTTGTATGTAATGTATACATCTATATGTACATATATTGAACGTAGGTGGTAACTGAGCAACCATATGCTGGCGGTGTAAGAATAACCACTACCTCATATCATCCCGCAGGTGTCGTGAGAGGCGGCAGATGAAAACAAATGAGCGTCTTCCTGATAACGACTAAAAATAAAAACAAACGATATCCCCGTGAGGCAACCTGTGGGAGAGGCAGGTGCAGAGGACTGTCTGTAACGGTAATAGTAGCCGATCAAAGCGCCTTATGTTTCCGTTTCAATTTTCAGAAAGAGAGTGACGAGAAGCTGTACCAGGATGCGTTGATCAACGCTTTGGGAGAGTTCGCAGATCACCTGCCTGACTTCCAGAAGATTGATATCATGATGTTCATCGTCAGCAAGATCCCGAGCAACCAGCGCACCGGGAAAGGAACGAAAGCCGACGCCATGCTGCAAAGCATACTCTTGAAGTCTCTGTTGAAGGTTGGTCTTGTTCTTGATCACCATGTATTGTATTAATTTAATTTGTTCTTAAACGACAATAAGACAACATGTGTTAAATTTACAGTACCTATCTAGACTTAGTTCTACAGAATGAGCTGTAAGAAAAATTATAAGTCTCGCCGATGTTGAGACAACTAGATTAATTTATTTTAGTTACTTTCATAGCGTAATGTCTTATGGAATTTTGCTATGGGGTAGTGTAACTGTAATTGAAGCCATATTTGTTTCGCAAAAGAGAGCCGTACGAGGATTTACCTTAGAGAAAAAATTAAATAAATAAACATATTAACTTTGTCACCGCAATATATTTATGAAAATGATTTTTTGTACATAAAAACATAAATAGCTTTGATAAGAATAAACATGTTCATACTTGTAAACACTAGGAATAAACATAAGCTTGTAATACCAGTTACTAGACTCCACAGAATTAGTAATTTTTTTATGGGGCGTACGTATACGTATACGCTTTTACCTCAAAAACCCAGAAAATGTACAATATGGGTTCTTACGAGTATAATATCAAAAAATACATAAATGAAAATAACCCCTCAGAATGAGGTGATCGCCAACATGTTGCTTCTATTAACCTTTTCATGTCTCGTGTACTGTGGTCTGCGCGGGCGATTGACGAGACGCACGCGAGATATTTGCGGACAGATAAATCTCTGGATAACCATGTTAGAAACTGTCTTAATTAATGTAATGTGTAAATTATTATATAATATTTTTTATTTGCGGGCTAAACAGAAATGAACACATATTTAAGTATTAATTAAATTTTATTATTTATGAGTTTATGACACAAGACAGTTTTATAAACCAATTTCTTTTTTTATAACTTTTTAATTTATGATTAGATACGATTTTTAATGGTTTTATACTGTGTTGTGGAAAGAAAAATAAGTGTACACAGACAGTTATAATTTTAAAGTTTTATTTACTTTTTTCCTGGTCTCTAAATGAAAAGATGATAAGTTATTATGTTTTGTTTTTATACGGTACTAGTTGTAGGTAGACGCGACCTGTTAAAGGAATCAAGTGATAGGTCAATCAATGTATGTAAAGTGGGCATGATTCTTTATCCATATCTTCTTCTTCATTATTGGACTAGAATTTCCATACCTTCTTCAGAATTTGAATCGTTTTCCAAGTTTATGATCAATTCGTCTGTTACATTGTCAAACCTTATGTTGTAGTCCCAATATTGGTTCTCAATTTTTTGTGCGTAGTCATCGCCTTCTTGCCGTCTTTCCGTGAATTCAGTAAACAATATTGTGATTATTGACATTTTGTCGACAAATGAAGAATTTATATAATTTGAAACTAAATTTTCTTTATGTCATCGGCCCACGCAAGTGCACTGCAGCCTTTAACATTTCGTCAATGGTGTAAATTTTGTCGGATTGAGTTCTATTACTTTTTGAAAGAGTTCGGCTTTAGTATTGTCTGGTGTAAATTCAACATTACGTTCGCGTAACCAATCTTGCGTGTCCTTTTTAAACTTGACATGGTAGGTTTTTTTCCAACCTGTACACAATGGTAGGACACATTGTCCATTACGACCACTGAATTAGGAGCTAGTTTATTTTTAAATTTGTGACTAACCCAGTTATGAAAATTTGTAACATTCATATCGCCATAATAATATCCGCCTTTCGAATCTGATATGAAAATTGTTAATGCACCGTTAACTAATACGTCTCGGCTACCACTATGAATGGTAGTTTCGGGCTCAGATTCGGATTGCCAACACATATTGGAGGTGTAGCTACTGTTAGCGTAGGTTTCGTCTGGAAAATATATATTTAGGTTTTCATTTCTATATTTCCGTATAGATTAAATACCATACTCGCCATTGAGCAATACTGGGCCTTTCAATTTGTCTTCTGAATTTTAAATAAATATGCCATCTTGTGTAGAAAGCTGTCATAAATAGGTACGATGCCATCTTTTAAAACTGCAAGCAACTTACGAATACTTGAGATTTTTTTATCATCAGTATAAAACTGATGAATTTTTCTACCTATTACTCCCATATCAAAATCATCACCGTGGATTCCCTATTTTATTCCTTTAGGTTTACGTGGAGATGAACATTTTGAAATTTCCGATGTTTGTAGACTTTCCTTCAGCTACAATTCGCATTACAATGACGCACAGACTCACTAAGACTAGCGGCCGCTCGCGCGCTGTGCGCTGACGGCGGCCGCCGGCAGTGGAGGTGATCGGATAAGGAATTGATGATAATGTATTCAAATTGAGAAAGAATTTATTAACTTGAAACGTGGCACTGCATAGTGCTTACAATCGTTTTTATATTTGGCTCAAATTTACTTGTAGCAACACGTAAAACTGCTTCCAAACTTACATTTGCAAGGCGGTTTCGATGTTTTGTTTTATCATTATTTAGTATTGAAAAGGTTTGTTCACATATATAGGTAGAACCAAATAAGCTGGCACATTTCAGACCATTTATGCGCAACTATTTGTACGTATTTTTATCAATGCAGCGATAAAAGTTCAGCAAGTCTCCTTCGTTAAATTTGTTGCGTAAATCTTGATCGTTTTGAATATCGATAATTTCTAACTGCATTGACTCTAGCGCATTTTCAACTGAAATCGTGAATGGATTGCTGAATATGTCCAACAGAGGTTTCACTTTTTTAAACTCAGAAAATCTGTCTTGAAAAGATTAAATCAAAATGTCTAGCTTTTCTACATAACTGAAATGAATCGCAGTTTTGTTGAATTTTTCAGCCATTTCCAGAATTCAATTGCGATCTGAAAAGTGTCAGCTTACATTGAAAAGGTGATGACATGAGCGTAGAGCTGGGATATCAGTTGATTTTTGCCTTAAAGTCGTATATTCAAGACATTCAAATGATTTGTAATATCAACTAAAAAAACCAAATCACACAACTAATCAGGATTTTTAAGTTCCGGGACATCCCTTTGCTTTTCCGCCAGAAATATTCCAATTTCTTCTATTAAATTTAGAAATCGTTCCGGTGTCAATCCACGTCTTAGCCACCTTACTTCTATATAATACAGTAAATCTCCATATTCGCTTTCGATATCATCAAATAATTGTTTAAATTGCCTGTGATTGAGTCCTCGTGATTTTATGAAATTTACAATCGAAACTACCACTTTCATGACATTTTGAAACTAAATTTTTTTAGAACAGAGGGCTTCTTGGTGTATAATGCAGTGAAACTGTAGGAGATCTTCAGCGTTTTTTTTTTCTTGCAGATGCTTTTCCAGCAAAGTAACTAGCCCAGAATTGACACCAATCATCGAAGGAGCACCGTCAGTCACAACTCCCGATAATTTTGTTAAATCCAAATCAGTTTTTAAACACTCATCCAAAAGTACATTGAGTATATCAACTCCTCTGGTTTGACCTTTCAATGAACACTTTCCTAATAACTCTTCTAAGACTTCAAAATCTTGAGTAACACCTCGTATGAATATCAGAAGTTGAGCTGTGGAACTAATATCAGTGGATTCGTCGAGTGCTAATGAAAAAAATTCAATGATCTTAGTTTTTTCATTTAATTGTTCCGCAATATTATTTGACAAACACATAATTCGTCTTTGGATAGTCATACGATTCAGTTGAATTTTCTCAAACTTTTTTGCTGAAATAGAAATGGAAATAGAAACTTTTTTATTCAATGTAGATTATAAAAATACTTATTGAAAGTCACTTTTTTAATTTACCACTGCTGCTTTTGGACACATTTTCTTAGAGGCAATTTCTATGCATTCTTTTACAAAATCCCCATCATTGAAGGGGCGACTTCGCTTTGCTATCATTCGAGAAATTTCATAACTAACTTCTGTAGCTGTTTCTGAATCTTGAATGGGTTTTGTAAACATAGCTTGCTGACCAATAAGCTCCCGTTTTAAACACAACATTTTTTGCTTTCTTAATTCGCTTGTAAACTTGGTAAAAGTAGGATGCTGCGTTTCATAGTGCCTTTTTACATTATATTCCTTTACAATCGCAACAGAATTCTTGCAAATGTAACAAACGACTTTGTTATACGACCGTACAAAAAAGTATTTCTCAGTCCAAATTTCTTGAAACTGCCGATTTTTATCTTTAACCTTACGTTTTATACTAGGTCCAGGCTTGTCCATGTTGCGTTCTAATCCTGGCTAGGATTACCACAGCACCTAAAAACAATTACAGTACCTACTTAAATTACCCATCCTTTTTTAAATTACCAAAAATAATTGATTAAATAGGTAGGGAAACACTTATTAATAACAGTGTTTTACTTACGATTTCACAACACATTTATACACGTCACTTGACGGGAAATCTCGTTGAATGTGGATCTTTTTTTTTTGAAGAAGAAAACGAATTTAACCGAGATCAGCACGAACATTACCGACCGCTGTTACCGCACGGCGCACCGACAAGCGCACTTGGAGCGCGCGCGCGAGATTCAAATTACTTTTCGAACACGATGTACGACAGTATTATTTTCGCTGTCGGCGGGCCACCAGCATTCGACCGGCGGGCCGCGGTCTGTGCATCTACGGCATTACGGAACAGGATGACACATCTGTAGCCTCTGCTACTAATTTATTAATGTCCATATTATGTTTGTGTTCGATACTTTTTTCGTCGCCCTTTCGTCTGAAAAAACAACTGTGTACATTGTAAATAATATTTTTCACTTGTGGTATTGGCGGACTCATCTTAGGATATTTATCTCATATGTGTTTGGAAAAAACTGACGCGAACAACTGAATCCTATAGCCGTATGGTTGACGGCAGACTGAGTTCAGTTTTGCAGTATGAAGAAAAAAAGATGCACTAAACCCTTATTAAAATTGAAAAAAAAATATATTTTACAAAAATTTGCTTAAAATTCACCAAATTCCGCTAAATTGTATCCTGTAAATGTAAAAGGAAATAAGAAAAATTGCGATTATTTAAAGACAAGTAATGTGAGTTAATC